CAGCTCGATTTTCGAATTGGATTTTGGGGTCGCGATTCCGGCCACTTACGGTCAGTTTTTGGGGTAGGTCCAAGAACAAAAGTGGTTCCAAATAGGGTGTTATACCTAGGGTAGGAGTCTTGAGCCGTGATTTTGAGATTTTCCTGCGATGGGTTAACGCTTTGTACACCTACGCGCTGCAGGCGCATGTGGCGGCGCGTGGGCACTGTAGAAAAAAAGCATTGTGTCTCGATGTAATTTCCTAGTCCTCACAAGTGCGTAGGTGTACTCGGATTTCAATTTGGATACCGTTTGAGTCTCGAATGGATATCACCTATTGTGCGTTATCCGGATTCGATAGGTTTGAACCATTGGATGGTCTTGAATTTATTATATTAAATCTGGACATTCTTAGGATCGTGTAAGATTCGACGGATTGTAAAACGGAGTCCCAAATACTCTAGAAATGCCAACACTAGGGCTAGGTTTACAATAACCATCCGATCGTGCGATTGTGAGCGATCCGACCGTCCGATCTGGACCAAACATGCAGGACGTGTGTCCTAAGCTTTGTAGAACACATAGGAACTTTTGGATCGGAGTTTGGAGGTCATGGGCCCGTTTGACCAAGTTTGGGTAGTATGACCCTTGGTTAACCGTGAGTCTCCCAAGGTAGTTTCACCTTCCCAGGTTGATTAAAATGACCGTAGAGATATGTCTTGATTGTTAGTTGAGTTATGTTGTTTATATGGGATTAGGATATTAATTTATTGTTTTTAATTAGGGGATTATCGGATGCTATATTATGGTTGAGGTTTTTGGAATATTAGGAATTTATATATATTTATATTATAAAGATGTTTGATTACACTGTAAGTACCATCCTATGATTGTGAGATCCCACGTGGCGTTGGATTTTCCGGCGTATGGGGAGTATGCGATATGAGATGAGAGGTCACACGTGGTGTAGGATTTTCTGGCGTGTTGATAGTCCCCATACGTGGCGTTGGATTTTTGGATGTATGGGGAGATTATATGATATGATGGCTAGGTCCCATGTGGCGTAGGATTTTTCGGCGTGTGGACAGACCCCATACGTGGCGTTGGATTTTCCGGCGTATGGGGAGTATGTGATATGAGATGATAGGTCACATGTGGCGTAGGATTTTCCGGCCTGTTGACAGACGCCATACGTGGCGTTGAATTTTCCGGCGTATGGGGAGATTATGTGATATGATGGCTAGGTCCCACGTGACGTAGGATTTTCCGGTGTGTGGACAGACCGCATACGTGGCGTTGGATTTTCTGGCGTATGAGGAGTATGTGATATGAGATGATAAGTCACACGTGGCGTAGGATTTTCCGGCGTGTTAATAGACCCCATATGTGGCGTTGGATGTTCCAGCGTATGGGGAGATTATGTGATTACTAGAAAGATGTTTGGAAAAGATTGTGTTTGGCGAGTTGTGATTTAAATTAAAAAGAGGAATGGAATAAGTTCTAGAATGTATGAATTTGTATGGCTGCAATGGATTGTATGCTATCGGAATTGGGATTTCTATTGAAATAACTACGTGTGGCTTGATCCCTTAATAAGGGTACATAGGCAGCCGGGTAGTGCCTAGGTGCAGCCGCGGGCTAAACTTTACTTATGTGTTTGTGTTAGGAGGTTAAAACCTCGCATGTTGGATATTTGGGAAGTTAGATAAGGAAAATTGCATTTGGCTTTAATAATTATGTTTGAGTTTATTATTTGCCTTGTTTAAGGTATTATTTAACTTAAGAGCTTTGTTTGTAGTTTGTTTTCGGATTATTTGAGGGCCAGAGGCCAATTTTGTGAATTGCATGAAATTATCTTGTGCATGCTGCTGGTCGGTAATATCAAATGTGTTTTATGCAAGTTGAAATTTGGGGAATGTTCAAATTACAAGGGAGACTCTGCCGAAATCGTGCCCTTATTCTTTTTTGGAAAAAGGAGGTTATAGTTTTAGTGAGTGGGCCTGACATCGGGGTGATGTCGGGAATTCCATAAGATTCGTCCCAGATTTCAAAGAATTCGGGGCGGGTCCTGTCAGTTAAGTTCTAATAAAATAAAATAAAAATAATAAAAACTAAAAACTAAAATAGAAAAACAAAAAAAACCTCGCAGCCACCACATAAGAGCGAATAGTTTTAATAAGCCTCAATCGAAAAACAAAAGTACGAGTCCAATACGTATAGGAGATATGAACAAAGTACCAATATAATAAAAGAGAAATGCTACACTTACACATTTTTATCCCTTATTTCTATACCACATGATATGGCATGTCCATATTATATGCCACATCAAATAAATCAATAAAGTGTATTTTAATAAAGAAAATTTAGTTAACACTGTTTTTTAAAGTGTTACAAATCATAAAAGAAAAGAAAATGTTAAATAAATTTAATTGATGTGATTGTCCATCTCATCTACCATATAAGATGGTATGAGAATGTGGTATACAAATGTGGTAAGAATAGTATTACTCATACACGTATATCTTTTGCCATTCATTTTGTTTCTTCTTTGAGAAACTTGTTAGGTTTAGGAATCTTAGAATTAGCTTTTGTTGCCAAATGTACACTTTCATGTAATTCCTCTTAGCTCATCTTTAGAAATTAGGCATTGGGTATTTGCTACAAAGTTGAAGTTCACCGAAGAGCTTATGAGACTACAAAACCAATGTAATTTGTGCATTCATTTATAATGGGCGTCATTAGAAAAATCAGCATTTGCATCAATATACTTCGTCGAGATGACTAGTCATATAGGTCAAATCAGCATTTGCATCCATATACTTTGTCGAGATGACTAGTCATATAGGCCAATATTTTCAGCACAAGATTTTTAACCAAGGCACGTGATTTTGATTATTATAAGTCCAATCATTGGCTGCCAAGTGTCCTTTTGACCTACCAAAATGGCTAGGGCTAGTCTGGACTCATCAACTCTCTCATTTACATTTTTCAAATGGGTTTTTAAAAAAGAGTGAGAGATAGTGCATAAATTAGGTTTTGGTTTTTGGGAAAAGAGTTCATGGGTTCTTAATTTCCTTTGGACCTTCATTGAAATTTCATTTCTCAAACTTTTTTTAGTGCTACGAAGTTTTCATCTCTCATCTCTTTCATTTTCACCATTTTGGAAAACTTGGTTTTTCTCTTTGCTTTGTCTGAGAGTGTTCATGGCATAGGAATGGGTTTTCAAGATTTCATTTTGAAAGCTACTTATGTTTTAGAAAATCTTACCATAGCTTTGCGTTTCAAAGTTTTAATCTCTCATCTCTTTCATTTGCACAATTTTAGAAAACTTGGTTTTCTCTTTGGTTCGTCTGAGAGTGTTCATGGCTTCTGGAAATGAGGTTTTCAAATAGTTTTTAAAATATGCTTTCATTTTCGAAATCCACTTCACCCATTGAGAATTTTTTAGAGTAAAACTTTTACCTTGCATTCTCTACTTGGTGAGGTTTGGATTTTGATTCTGAGATTTTGAAAATTAGTTTTTGAAATCTAATGTGTGTTTTTTTTTTAAATAAAAAAAATATGCATCTAGCATTTAGTTTAAACACTTCATTATCCTAGCTAGATCAGATTATCTGTTGATTTCTTCAAGAGAATGGTTTCTCGAAGAAATTGACCATTTCATTCTAGAATCTATATTCAGATGTTTTGAATTAATATTAAGAGGGATTAAGCAACAATTAATTGAAGAACTATAAAAAAAATAATAAATAATAAATAATAAATAAATAATGTGAATTAATGAGAATTGATGGAATGAATATTGACAAAGAAAATCATTAAATTTCAACCGTTTCTCATAGAAGAAACAAAATGAACGGTATAATAAACAAATCAGAAACAATCAACATTAAGTGCCACCAATTTGGCAAAGAACAACAATTTCAAATTTTAATAAGAAACAAAAAGAAAAACGTCCCTGCAATGGGGACCATATATTGGAAATCATGTCAAGCATAACGCTAAAAAGGAAGGATGGCCTTTTTTTTCTTTTTTTTTTTGTGGATTCTCGGATTGCTTGAGTTAATTTCGACAAAAGTTTCTTTTTGGGGAGATTTAGATTTAATTTTTAATTATAAAACAAATAGTCTACTAGGATATTTTAATATATTCTTTTAATACCAACTTCTATAAAAGAAAATTTCCAATGTTAAGTATATAATTTAATGTGGGGTGATTGTCTGATCGATTGGTATAATATGTGGGTCTTTACTTTCTATTAAAATTTAAATTTAAATTCAAAATAAGAAAAGAGTTCAAAATTTAAATTCTAGAATTCAATTACAAGGAAATAATGCATTAAATTTAGATTTTCAATGTGTTTTCCTTATTTACCTTAAAGGGTAAAATCGACACAACAAAAAAAAATAAATGTCAAAGGACCTACATCTAAAACAAAAAACAAGGACTAAACCCAATGACATCTAATCGTTTTGGACCTAGATCTAAGAAGTCCTATTTATATTATAATTTATTTACAAACATTTCATTAACTTCGTGTTTGTAACTGTACATTTTTTCTGGTTGGGCGTTCACTCTAATGTTGGCCTTTTATAATCCATAAAATTTCGACCAAGAAAATCCCTAATTTTAGATAATGTACTTACGAATTTGTCACTCAAATTAATATTGTTTCCTTAATTTTAGAGATTTGTCCCCAGAATAAGAGGCTCAATCACGGCATGCATACTTTATTTTAAAAAAAATTACGGCATGTATTATTTTCCCATAAAACAAGGGAAGTAGTCCTTTAAGATTTTATTTTCCTGATATGCTTATATCTTTTTAATAATTTAGGATCTTAATAGGGATATTCGACAAGTGCATTCTTCTTCTTTTTCTTTTTTCTTTCTTCGGGTGCAACGCGCCTTCTTCTAGGAAACTTTGTTTCTAGTTTCCTTTTTATATTTTTTTTTCCCTATATTAGAATTCGGGAAAGTACGCATGCTTTGTATAAATAAACTCTTCCTTGCAGTCTCTCTCACAAGGATCTCTCACTCGGTCTCTTTCTTGAGTCTTGGCACCCCTTGTCGAGATCTACAACCGCATTCAATTTTCGTCAATTGTGTAGGTACTTGATCCTCGAACTCTAAGAACTTCTTCAACAATACTGATACGTTTGATCTGCATGTTCATCATATATGTGTTTTTTCATGTGCCTTCTGTCGTGTCTATGCCTATTCCAATTTACCTGTCCGTTATTCTTTGTCGTGTGTATGCCGATGAAGCAAAGGAATTTGTGAGAGCAGGCCTTATTGGGCATCAAGTATGCAGGAGAATTATTTCTGATATGTTGCCCTTTCTTTCTCACTTGTGTGCAATTTTTTTGGGTATATTTTTTGGAAGAGTTTTTCTCTTTGTACTCACTTAACCATGCATGAATAGTAAGATTTTACTTGGAATTGCATGTAAATATATTTAGGTGCACAATTAGAATCTTGTCTGGTTAATCTCTCCTGTTAATTGGTGTGAATGCTTATTGATATTTTCGAATAATATGAACAGATATTGGAGTCTATTTGTTTTACCTTTTGTATTTTTGGCTAACAAAAGCTTGAAGCCTTATGAATCTTTGGAAACATTAATATATATAGTTGGATTGGGGTTTATTGCTGAACAATAAGATCTTTCCTTAATTATAGATGTCTCTAATTTTTGCCATTGAAGTATATATATCAAGAAAAATTAATGAACAAACAGTTGCAGGTGCATGTTCAATTGGATTCAGGAAAGCCCGGCGTTGAAAATATGAAAACATATTGCAACGGATCAGTCTTCCTTGTAAAAGATGAGGCTTCTGCTCTTGATAGCCGGAATGTTTCTGAGTTGGTCGTCGAAAAAGGCCTTGACATTGTTTTGAGACGTAATGATATCAAGGTTGCATCAAACTATTGCGATAACCTTTGTACTACAAAGTCAACGAATTCTGGCGTGGATCCTCCAGTCATAATAGACTTGTCAAATGTGAGAATTACCCAGTTATTTATATAATAACTACAAGGGATTGAGGTGTTTATTCTTTCTTCTAAGAGTTCGTTTTTTCGTTCGTTCATTCATTCATGACATGCGTTTGTTTCAGGCAACATGGGAGGAAGCTGGTAAAGCCTGTGATCATATATTTTTATGGGCCTTTGGTAAATACCAGAAAGTTGAGGGTATTGTGGAATCTGTTACCAACAACAAGAATAAGATTATACTACTGATTCAACGCAAAGAGAAAACGTGGAAGATTCCCTTCTCACTTAAAGGTGTGACATGGCCCAGAGGTGAGGAGCCCTATGCAGATGAAGCATTTGAACTACTGAGGCAAAGCATAGTTGATAAAAGGGTGGAGGTAATTATTTAGCTCTTATTTGGTAGCTTTGATTTCCGCTTAGTTTTCTTCTTGCTTCGTTAAGAAGATTTTATCTATTCTACAGGTTCTACTGGACAAATTTGATTCAGATTCAGATGGATATTTCATGGGAACTTTATTGTTGGAGTCAAATACCCATGTGGCAATCCCCTCCTAAAAGCTGGGCTTGCAAAATTGGAACGACTTTCTTATCCCAAAGGTTATCGCAACCAATTTAAACAACTTCAAATCTCTCCGCAAATGAAGAGAATGAAAGTATGTGAAGCAGCATATATATATATACATGCATTATTATGACAACTGTCTTTCTTTTACCTAATTGTGCTAATAACATTCATTTTGTTGCAGATCTGGGAGAACTCAAGTGCCAAGAAGAAGTCAATAGATTGGGACTGTAATGTTGGAATTTGGTTTGTATTTCAAAACACAATTTCTCTTTTTCGAACTATTGCTCATCTTTAGTCGGTGGCTCTAGATGGTTTTCTTTTCATCTTCCTACATATATAATTCGTCTTGTTCTTTGTGAGATGGTTGTATTGGAAAATTATTTTGTGGGCTTCCTATTATCCCTGCCTTTGAATGGAGTCCAATTGAACCTTTACAAGTTTTTCTTTTTTAAACAATAATGTACATGTGAATCGTGTATTTATGATGATGAATCACTCACGAGAAAGCATGTCTCAAGCACTATGGCCCCATTTGGTTCATGGGAAAAGGAGGCTTAGGGATGAGAACTCAATTGCTTTCTCATGTTCGATAAGTCCAGGCATGAGAAATAGTTGCATGACACATGGGAAAGTATAGGGGGAGAAAGTGAAGCTCTCCTTCCCAGTTGAATTTTGTTCTCCTCGTCATGGGAAAGTCTGGGAAAATGAGCCAATATTAATGCACATTTTTCATGACCATTTTGTCCCCATTAACAATTTAGAATTACAATATAGCATTAAATGCATTCTTTTTGTATAATTAGAAAATTAAACAAACTTTGTTTTGGATTCCTACACAAACCAAACATGTGAAAGGAAATAAAGTAGTATTTCCTGGTTACTTTTCTAGAATTACCAAACATGGAAAATGAATCTTCTATTTCCCATATCTTGGGAAAGACATGAGAAATCATTTCCCATCAAATGTTCTCCGCGAACCAAACAGGACCTATAAGTTAGCTCTAGATTCGAGTTCTTCTTGGAAGGACCTTTTGATGGTTCACTTCCAATATTTCCTATATATGTTCGGTGTCCTACCCTTGTGCCAAATTAGAACAGGGGCCATCGCTACTGCCAGGCTTTGGGTGTCCATCTGTATAAAGTTATCAACTATTTAGCTTGCTTAACAAATATCCGGCATATAAATTCCCGTGGAGATCCAGAACTACATTCAATATTCGTCGATTGCATACGTATCTGATTCTAACTTTGAGAGCTTTTTCAACAATAGTACTACGTTTCATCTGCTATCGCCAATTTCGCCACGTGTCAAAATAGTACAGCCGAACGGCTATACTATTTTTATAAAAAAAATCCGTGCGGCTATACTCTTTACTTTTTGGGGGCGAAATTTGTTAAAGATTTGATTTTGACGATACTAAATGAATTCCTTGTGATCTCTCAACGACGTCGTGTCAACAACGAGCTCTCTCTCCCACATTCCCAGTCGTACCTGCGGAAACGCCATCAGTCCTTGTAGGCTCCACCACTTCTTCACACAATAACGATCGCGTAATCTCTCTCTCTCTCTCTCTCTCTCTTTACAGTCTGCTTGGTTACTGACGGAAAAAATGCTTTTGACCAAATTTTTTGGTTTAAGAAAAGTGGTGTAATTGGGGCAGTAAAGCACATTAATCTCTAAGTTGATGAAGTCACTTGTGAAGTTAGTATGCTATTTCTTAAAAATGCGTGCAGTTAGATGAGTGCACATTGATAGTTCAATGCATTTCAAGTACATTTCAATTTTGATTTGGGATAGGAAGTAGATTGAAATGTATCTGTATTTTGTGTACGTACTATACGTGCCCAGGTCGATGCAGCAGTTCTCCAGTACCAGAACCAATAATATGGTAAATTCACACTTTTTTATATTAAAAAAATTAAAATTAAAAGAAAAATCAGATAATGAATCCTATTTTTATGGAATACAACTACCCATTATATTTTTTAATTCCAAAATAAATTTTTAATTTTTTTTTAAAAGCCTCTCGCATGGTGAATAAATACCTATTTTTATGGAATACAACTATACTATATATTATACAATTTCTGATGGTGATTTCTTTATTTTGCTATCCAGTTGGTTGATGATTTAATTCTTCTTGGATTATGTGCTGGAAGAAGCCAAAATGCTTTACAAAGTTTAGATGGCGCTGATTATTCTCGTGGTATTTTACAGCACGTGTTGTTTTATGCTACTTCATCTTTTTTTTCCTAATTTTTTCTGATGACTAAATCAAAATCTTACTGTTCATTTTATTTTATTCTTCACATCATATAGATTAGATTGACCGGTGTGCTTTTCAGGTTCAATTCCATCATGTTCTGCGGAGGAGATGTTTCTTTGTAGACTCCTACAAAGAGATTCTATAGAAGCTAATGGCAATGATGAAATTGCTAAATATGTTGAAGAAGCTCTCCCTTTGCGTCATACGTCTACTAGGGAGTTGTTAAAACTCGTGGAACATGCCATTTATTCTCATAGGGAAAAAACAGAGAGCATAGTCCGCACTTTGGATGGAAAGACATCTTCTGAAGGTCAGAGGTTCAATTGTAAATTCATTGTTGTACAAACTAATTTCATACAATAACTTTTTCATTTTTTACACTTATTTTTTAAGGAGTAAGTGCATGAGGAATTTTGTACTGATTATAGGTTCTTTGTTTTTCTTGTGATTCTCAGATGCTATCATCCAGTTACCTAAGATTGATGATATGATGGAGAGGGAGGTTAAAAATATGTGGGAAGTGATTGATATTCTTCACATGAAGCAGAAAGAGTATGCTGATGTAATTCGGACTTACCTTAGCGGCCAGTCAACAGATCAGTCTGAAATTAGGCGCATTACAGGTTTCTGAGATGGTTATAGCCACAAGCCTTGGTTTTTTATTTGCATATTTAGTAGGAATGTTTAATCCTACACTTGATTACTTACGACATGTGTTTGAGCATGTTTTGCAGATACTAGCAGCTGATCGCCTTTCTGAGTATCAAGAGGCACACGAAGAAAATTTAACGGTGTCAAAACAATTGCAAGAATTTCAGGTTTCTATTTCAGTACTTTTACATGAAGTTGTTGCTTTGGAAATTGGACCCATAGATTATAAATTGGCAAAAATGTGGAGTGGCTGAGGAATACAATTGTGCGAGAGATGTTGACGGATGTGTTGGGAGGTCTTTGACCATAGAGCTGAAGGTTGTCATGCAGCTTTCTTTTCATTTCAAGCAGCAAAATACTCGTGCTTTCTTTTCCCGTAGTAACGATAATATAAATTTCAAGTTTTGAGTTTATAGTTGTAAGTTTGTAACATATATATTTAGAGGATCACAGTTTGTAACATATAAATTTCAAATTGGCATCCATGGCTCAAATGGATATGCTGGGCTTTAAGACTAATACTAGAGACAACCATGAGGATTTATCACAATGTGGTCACATCCTGGATGCTATTTCAGAGGATTTATCCCAATGCAATGTGTGAGGATGTTCGATGTGAACTCTCTGAGGATTTATCCCAATGCGATCACATCCTGGGCATCAAAAAGCCAAAGGTGCTATTTTTTACATTCTTGTCAGCTTTGCTTTTCGACATAATATAACATCACGTTTGTCAATGGATCACCAATTTATAGACACAATTTTTGTACTTTGGACCTCTGGTGCAGCTGGAGATCATTCTTCCTGATATAACCTATGCCTTTTTTCTCTCACACTCACAAGGCTCAGAAGGAAACCAAGCTACTCTTGGACAAGGTGTAGTCTTGTTTGCATTTTCATATTTTATGAGCAGGGCAGTGATTTATAAAAACCTGTTTTGCTTCATTACCAGTTTATCATTGTCTCTGGTGTGCAGATCCTAGCTGAAAGGGTGTCCCTGTATGATGAAGGGAAAAGAGACTACTTTCATTTGGAAAGAATGCTGGTTGGGCAGGATTTATCGACTTCCTGCGTGGGTTTTTTCATTGACTTTTTTTTTTAACCTTCTCTCTGTTTTTCTCATTCTTTCTTTTCTTTTTCAAGGGTATTTAAGTCTTGGATATTCAACACCGTTCCTCCTATTGGGTGCATCTTATATGTATCTGTCCTTGGCTGCTGCCAAGGCTGCAGTGATTTCCGTGGGTGAAGAGATAGTGACTCTGGGACTGCCATCAAGAATCTGCCTCTGGTATTTGTCTTCACCGGTTCAGGAATCTGCCTATGCCTCTGGGACTACCAAGGCTGCAGTGAAAAAAAAGCATCTCATCATAATTTCTTCTTTTGAGAATGGAACCGGGCAACGTTCTACTTTAATTCACAACTTAATTCACAATTTCCGCGCTGGAAGTGCTTCGGGGGCCTAATAAGCCCCCCTCCTGCCTGGGCTGGCCCCTTGCGCTGTTAATGCTCTAAGCAAAGTAAAAAGAATTCTATGTCGAGAATGGTGAAATGACTTGACATAACAACAAATGCGTTGATTGCACCCAACTTTTGCCATCATAATTGGACGTATCCATATTTTCTACAAATTATATAATGAACATGATGACGGCAATATTGTTAGCGCAAAAATAACAGTAGCTAGCACAATTCAGCCTCTCATAAAATTAAAATTAAAATATATCCGTTTCACGAAAATAAGAACACCACAATTAATCCTCTCATTAAAAAAAATTATATCCTAGGAACGAAAAAAAGGACCAAAAATCGTCTTATAGTTCAGTGGAGCCAAGGCTAACGAATGGTCTGCACCAAAAAAAAAAAAAACGAAAAGCCAAATACAAGACTAATCAGAAGGATAAAAACCAGAAGGATAAATTCCTAAAATCTATTTTCTTCTATTTTCCCAGCACTTGGTAGATATCTCCTCCATATATATAGCGCCACACCCCCACCCCACCTATTGACACTTTTGCAAGTCTTTCTGTTATTAGTTGTTGTTGCTAGAAGATGATTCATCATAATTCTCCCATATCTGCAACAAAAATGGATATTATATACACAGTTAGTTAAAAGACAACGCAAGTATATATATATATATATATATATAATGCTTCACATACTTTCATTTTCTTCGTTTTCGCAGGCTTATGAGCATCAGTAAGTTGGGTAAAATAATCCAACTGATAAGGTTTTCTCAATTTCGCAAGGCCAGCTTGAAGGAGGGGGATTGCCACATCGGTATTTGACTCCCATAATGTTCCCACGAAATATCCATCCATATCAATCGGATCAATTAACATCCTCAGTTCAACCTGTACAATTCACAATTTTATCGAAGCAAGAAGAAAACCGAGGGAAAATCAAAGCTACCAGATAAGTGCTA